AGAAGCATGGTTAGAAGTGCAATTAAGAACAACACACATAGCTAGATTGGATAGAAACCCAATTCCCAACCAATATTACCTCCCTGTGGATATCGATCCCAACCTTTCGGGTAAAAGCTGCATCGATCACTCTTTGCCATTTTGTAGAGGTATAGGGTTGGAGCCAATCACACCCCTTCTCAGAATAAAGGATACTCCCAAAAATCTTTTCTTTCTAAAGCTTCTTCTTGTGACTTTTCAAGTCTAAATCTTTTTTTTGGACATCATATACATACTCATGATGGTATCCTTAATTGTAAAGCATGGTTAGAAGTGCAATTAAGAACAACACACATAGCTAGATTGGATTGAAACCCAATTCCCAACCAATCTTAGAATAGAAACAAAAGAAGCATGGTTAGAAGTGCAATTAAGAACAACACACATAGCTAGATTGGATAGAAACCCAATTCCCAACCAATATTAGCTCCTTGTGGATATCGGTCCCGACCTTCCGGGTAAAAGCTACATCGACCACTCTTTGCCATTTTGTAGTGGTATAGGGTTGGAGCCGATCACACCCCTTCTCAGAATAAAGGATACTCCCAAAAATCTTTTCTTTCTAAATCTTCTTCTTGTGACTTTCCAATTCTAAATCTTTTTTTTTGGACATCATATACATACTCATGATGGTATCCTTAATTGTAAAGCATGGCATAAGAATGAAATAAACATTCAAAAGTATTTCTAAAGATTCTTGCTTCTTCATAAATTTTCAACATGAAAATGACATATAAGAATAACACAAAAATCTGAAAATTTATGCACATATATCATAATAAATCATCTAAACTTTTGCTAGAACAATTCTAAGTTAATAGGTACTCACTCGCTCCAATTAAGTAAATATAAACTCTTTTAAGCAGTTCATCAAACACCTTGTATGCGTGCTTTTGTGAGTTGAACCACTTTAGCAAAAGGGTTATATCAACTCACCTCAAAACTCCTCGAGCCAATGCGTAGGCCCCAGTCCAATTTATACCCGTCAAATAATTGATTCTACAACAACAAGTGCATTTGAACTAATTTAAAATTTTCACATCTAAACATGGAACTTACTGTTGATACAGAAGAAGAAGGGAATTAACTATTTAATTCTTACCTATTACTACTGTAGGATAATTGACAATAGGAAATTTTACATACCTGAGTTCAAGAACTAGTGATTGGTAAAGAACTCTAGAATTTTATTTTCGATGTTTGTGTGCCTTGCGTGAACAGAACAGTGTTCTGTTTCTATTCAATTCTTAAATCCCCATTGTTCCTTCCTTTTTCTTAAAGGGCTAAGGCTTGTCACGCTTTTTCCTGCCAAGAGCCCTTTATGGGCTTAAGGCTCACGTGCCCTTTTTCTTCTGTTTTCCTTTTTTTTTACTTAACTAGTATTTAATTATACATTAATAATTAATAACATTAAAATTATTAATATTCTCCTAATTTCATATCAAATTATTTATAAATGGAAAAGTAACTCAAAGTCAATCACAAGAGTTTAAATCTGTAATAGAAGTATAATTTTAGATTAAAAAAAATTAAATCCTATATTTAGCGTGTCTTGAAACTTTTATAGATTTGAGGAGTGTTACAATGTTCCCTCCTTAAAAACATTCGTCCTCGAATGTTGCTAGGGTCTTATTCTTAAGCTAACAATTATTCCTTAGGTCCTTGAACCTCTTAAGTTTTCTTAACACTACTCACTCTTCCAAGGGACTCAAAATTTTGGCTAACTCCCTAAATTTTTCAAAAATTTCGGCAGAGTTTTCCTTGTAAATTGGACTATCCAAAAATATATCCCTGTCACAAATACCACAACTACACCAATAACAACCAAATATACCATAACAGGCCATTCATAGGCACCATACACAGCTCATAAATTAATTACTCACACTCCGGCAAGGAGGTACCACAATAACCAACAAGAATCTAAAGCACAACACTTTAGCAAAAGTAAATCACTTTAATGAGTCAAATGTACTCTGGAATGGCACTAAATTATTAAATAACTAAAAATAATCTGACAAAAATTAAATTACCTCAACAACTAAGTATAATCTAGCAAAGACATAAACACATGCTAACTTGTATTTAATAAATAAAATATAAATGCCAAACCAAACCTAGGTTCACATACCTGTTTCCTCAAATAAATATGGATATTTCTTCCTCATATCTTCCTTGACCTCTCTCGTATCCTCTTTTGAATCATGATTACTCCACAAAACTTTTACCGATGCTAAATCTTTTGTTCTCAACTTTCTTACTTGCCTATCGGGAATTTCTATAGGTACCTCTTCATAAGTCAAGCCTTCTTTAATTTCTATGGTATCGGCAGGTATTATATGCGACTCATCATGAATGTAATTTCTAAGCATAGACACATAAAAGACAGGATGAACAGAGGACAACTCAACGGGCAGCGCTAGCTCATAAGCCACGTTTCCTTTCTTTTCTAGAATTTCATAAGGTTCGATAAATCTAGGACTAAGTTTCCCTTTCTTACCAAACCTCATAACTCCTTTCACTGGTGAAACTTTCAAAGACACCTTATCACCAACCATGAACTCTAATTCACGATGCCTCTTGTCAAAATAAGACTTTTGACGAATCTGAGCCGCTTTCAGTCTTTCTCTGATTAGCTGAACTTTCTCTAAGGCCTCACAAACAAACTCTGGACCAATCAACAGCACCTCTGCTGGTTCAAACCAACCCACTGGAGACCTACATCTTCGCCCATACAACGCTTCACAAGGAGCCATACCAATGCTGACCTGATAGCTGTTATTGTAAACAAATTCTATCAGTGGCAAATGATCATCCCAATTACCTCCAAAATCTATAACACATGCTCGCAACATATCTTTGAGAGTCTGAATGGTCCTTTCTGCCTGGCCATCGGTTTGTGGATGGAAAGCGGTGCTCAAATTGACATTGGTACCTAATCTTTTCTAAAATGCCTGCCAAAAATGCACCGTGAACTGAGGGCCTCTGTCAGATATGATTGAAACTAGAGTACCATGCAATTGGACTATTTTTTTGATGTATAACTGCGTATACTGATCTGCGGAATCTGTCGTCTTTACTGGTAGGAAATGCGCGGACTTTGTCAGTCGGTCTACAATAACCCAAATTGAATCATGCTTACGGTATGTGCGAGGTAGACCTACTACGAAATCCATATTAATCATCTCCCATTTCCACTGTGGTATCTCTATATCTTGAGCTAGGCCACCAGGCCTCTGATGCTCGGCTTTGACTTTCTGGCAATTCAAACATTTAGCCACATGATCTGCTACTTTCTTCTTCATGCCTTTCCACCAATACAAGTCTTTCAAGTCCAGATATATTTTGGTAGCACCTGGTGAATAGAGTACCTCAAACTGTGAGCTTCTTCCATTATGGCCTTCCTAAGACCATCTACATCAAGCACACATAACCGATCATTCAACTTCAAAACTCCGTCACCTCCTATAGTGAAAGTAGCGATTTATTTGTTTTTAACTCCTTCTTTTAACTTCACTAAGTACGGATCTTCGTCTTGCTTAGCCTTAACATGCGCAACTTAAAGAGGATTGCGCTAAGGCATTAGCAGTTATACCTCCTTCTTCGGTCTCATCCACTCTAGTTCTATATTTGCCGGTTTTCAATTTCTCGACCCAAAGTTCGCCTTTGTACTGCAAGATGGGCCAGGACACCCATTGACTTCCTACTAAGAGCATATGCTACCACATTAGGTTTGCCCGGGTGATAAAGGATATTGATGTCATAATCTTTCAATAGCTCGAGCCACCTTCTCTGTCTCAAATTTAATTCTTTTTGCTTGAAAATGTACTGGAGGCTTTTATGATTTGTAAACACATCAGAATGCTCGCCATAAAGGTAGTGTCGCCATATCTTTAATGCAAACACCACTGCGGCAATCTCCAAGTCGTGTGTGAGGTAGTTCTTCTCGTGATTCCTTAACTGCCTGGAAGCATAAGCAATAATTTTGCCATCTTGCATAAGAACACAACCAAGACCAACTCTGGAGGCATCACAATACACCGTGAACCCACATGAACATGTCGGCAAGGTTAACACAGGTGCAGTGGTCAACCTCTTCTTTAACTCTTGAAAACTCTGCTCACAAGCGTCTGACCACTGGAACTTAACTGCTTTCTGGGTCAACTTAGTTAATAGAGCTGCAAGTGAGGAAAATCCCTCTACAAACCTTCTATAGTAGCTAGCTAACCCCAAGAAACTTCTGATTTCGGTTGGCGTTATAGGCCTTGGCCAGTTCTTGACTGCTTCTGTCTTCTGAGGGTCTACTTTTATGCCTTCACTAGATACCACGTGGCCTAAGAATGCCACTGACTGCAACCAAAACTCACATTTTGAAAACTTGGGATAAAGCTCATTCTCCTTCAAGGTCTGCAAGGCTATTCTGAGGTGTTCTGCACGATCTTCCTTGCTCTTAGAGTATGCCAAAATATCGTCTATAAACACGATAATAAAGGTATCAAGGAATGGCTTGAAAATTATGTTCATGAGGTCCATGAATGCAGCTGGAGCATTTGTCAACCCGAAGGACATTACTAGAAATTCATAGTGCCTGAAGCGAGTTCTAAAGTTTGTTTTAGATATGTCATCTTCTCTGATTCTCAACTGATGGTACCCCGACCTCAAGTCTATCTTTGAAAAGTACTTTGCACTCTGAAGTTGGTAATCATCAATTCTTGGTAGTGGGTACTTGTTCTTAATGGTATTTTTATTCAACTGCCAATAGTCGACACACATTCTGAGAGACCCATCTTTCTTCTTGACAAACAGGACCGGGGCACCCCACGGTGAAATACTCGGCCTGATGAAGCCCTTGTCAAGAAAGTCTTTTAACTGTTCTCGTAACTCATTAAGTTCTGCTGGAGCCATCCTATAAGGAGGTATAGATATGGGCCGAGTGCCTGGCATGAGATCAATGCCAAAGTCTATGATTCCTTCAGTAGGAAGTCCGGAAGGTCATCTGGGAAAACTTCTAAGAATTCTCTAACAACTAGCACAGACTGAAGAGCTGGTGGTTCTGATTCTGGAATGTGAGCCAAATAAGCGAGACACCCCTTACCGATCATTCGTTGTGCCTTAAGGTAAGAAATAAACTTACCTACAAGTGATGCTGAATTACCCTTCCACTCTTATACTACTTTATTTGGAAATTGGAACTTGACTATCTTGGCACGACAATCTAACATGTCATAGCAGGAAGACAACCAATCCATACCCATGATCACGTCGAAATCCACCATTTCTAACTCTATGTGATCGGCCTCGGCGTTGCGACCTTGGACTGAAACTATATAACCTCTATAGATTCTTGTGACTTTCACCGACTCGCCAACTGGAGTAGATACTAGGAATGTCTCACTAAGTTGTTCCGGCTCTAGCCCGAGGTTAATTGCAAAGAATGGAGTCACATACGAAAACGTTGAACCTGGATCAATTATGGCATAAGCATTATGTGAGCAGACTAGAAGTATACCTGTAATAACTTCTGCAGATTCCTCTGAACTCTGACGATCAAGTGTAGCAAACAAACGGGGTTGTCCCCCTCCCTGAGTAACTCGATCTACACCTTGGCCTGCCCCATGCCCGGTTGATTATGAGAACCACAAACCTGAGGTGGTGCAACTGCAGTAGCTGAGGAACTAGAAGGACGAGTTGATCCACCACTGAAATTATGTCGCAACTTTGGGTAGTTGGCCTTTATATGACCAATGTCTCCACAATGATAGCAACCATGAAACCCGAGCTTGCACTGACCTGAATGTTGCCGCTTACATGTTCCATAAAGACCTTGTTATTGTGAATGTTGCTCAGCATGACTCTGGCTATGTGAGGATGATGTCCTAAAATTCTGATTCTGGCGAGACTGGTTTCCATGACTCTAGGTACATCTGAAGGAAGACCCACCACCTGACAGATGACTGGACTGAGCGGGTGTTAATGACTCCTTATCAGAGGAACCCTTTCCACCTCCGCTAGATGTACATTTAAACCTGCCCGTTGTCCGGGCTTTCTTGTTATGCTCTTTTTCTTCTCTCCTTTGTTGTCTGTCTTTTTCTAAGTGCTTGGCGAATCCCACAACAGAGGAGAAAGCTGTCATTCCTACCGCTACAGCTGTGTCGTATCCTTAATGTGGTAAGCCAAACCGCCAACAAACCTGCGAATTTTTGCTTCCGAGGCCTTGAAAACCTCATTTGGGGTTGCCTCGATTTGCGTGCGCAGTCCGGGCGCATAGCCGGAAAGCTTGAATATGAATTCTGTGAGAAAAATGCTAAATTTTGATATTTAATTGGATAAATTTGACTTCGGTCAACATTTTGGGTAAACGGACCCGGACCCGTGATTTGCCCGGAGGGTCCGTAGGAAAATATGGGACCTGGGCGTATGCCCGAAATCGAATTCCGAGGTCCCAAACCCGAGAAATGAATTTTTGTGTGAAATTATTTTCTGGAAATGATTAAGGAAAATGAAAATGAAATTTGATTAAAAGACTATGGAATCGGACTCGTATTTTGGTTCCGGCACCCGCTACAAGTCTTATATATGGTTTAAGCGCTTTCTGTAAAGTTTGGTTGAAAACGGATGTCGTTTGACATGTTTCGGACTTAAAATGGAAAATTGATGTTTTATGAAAATTTGGAAGAAATCATGAGTTTTGAGGCTTGATCCGATGTATATGATGTTATTTTGGCGATTTGATCGCACGAATAAGTCCGTAAGATGTTTTTGAGGTTGTGTGTATGTTTGGTTTGGAGCCCCGAGGGCTCGGGTGAGTTTTGGATAGGTGTCAAGTTGCATTTTGACCTTAGAAATCTCAGAAATTGCTGCTGGTATGAACAGGCCTGCAGGCTTCGCAATTGCGAAGCCTGGTTCGCAAATGCGAAGGCTGGTTCGCAAATGCGAACCCAGCCCAGGCCTGCCTTGGCTCGCAAATGCGAGGTCCTCCTTCGCAATTGCAAAGTGTGCCCAGATGGCTGGAGGTCGCAAATGCGACTAATTGTTCGCAAATGCGAACATGCCCAGAATTTCTAGAGTTCGCAAATGCGAATTTCCTTTCGCATTTCCGAAGCCTGGAGGGTTCGCAAATGCGAACCTAGTTCGCAATTCCCATATCTGCAGCCCAGCAATTTTCATACTTAGTCGAATTTTAGGCCATTTTTCACCTCACTTTCAAAATACAACTCCTTAGGCGATTTTTCAAGAACAAGTTTCATCCCAAACCATTTGTAAGTCAATTTTTACTCAGTTTTTCATTCATTAACATCATTTAACATGTTTTCTCCTTAAAATCAAAGATTTTCATGGGTGAAATTGGGGGTTTTGGGTAGAACCTAGGTTTTTCAAAAATTGGGGATTTGGACCTCAATTTGAGGTCCGATTTCAAAACAAATTACATATTTGAGTTCGTGGGGGAATGGGTAACCGGGTTTTGGTTCGAACTTCGGGTTTTGACCACGTGGGCCTGGGGGAGATTTTGGAAGTTTTGGGAAAAACTTTGGAAAATTCATTTTTATGCATTCAAATTGATTCATTTAGTATTTATTAAAGTAATTAAGTGACTTGTGACTAGATGCGGTCGGATTGGAGGTGGAATCACGGGGTAAAGCTATAGTTGAGGCTTGAGTTGAGTTCAAAGCATCAAGGTAAGTATTTGGTTTAACCCTAGTTTGAGGGATTAGGAGTTGAGTCATAATTGCTACTTGTTTATGTTGAGTACGACGCATGGGCATGGTGACGAGTATCCATGCGTCGGTGTCAAGCATGACCGTGAGTCTTAATTTGATAATTGTGTACCCTTGTTGATCCTATGAACGTTGTGACTAAATATTGGTATTAGTTGTGCCAGGAAGAAGTTGAATAGGATTGGTTATAGCTGACTCTCCCTTGTCGGGATGTTTAACTTGTTGTTATAGTTCCCTTGCCAGGAAGAGTATTAATTTGATTGTTCCCTTGCCGGGATGAGTAATAATTTGATTGTTCCCTTGCCGGGATTGTATTGTGCATTGTGTTGAAAGTAAAGGGAGCGGGTTGTACACCTACCACAAGTGATATTGAAATGGGAGCGGGTGGTAGGCCTACCACAATGAAATTAAAATGGGAGCGGGTGATACGCCTACCACAAGTGATATTGAAATGGGAGCGGGTGGTACGCCTACCACAAGTGAAATTGAAATGGGAGCGGGTGGTACGCCTACACCACAAGTGATACTGAAATGGGAGCGGGTGGTACGCCTACCACGAGTGATATTGAAATGGGAGCGGGTGGTACGCCTACCACAAGTGATACTGAAATGGGAGCGGGTGGTACGCCTACCACGAGTGATATTGAAATGGGAGCGGGTGGTACGCCTACCACGAGATATTGAGAAATGGGATCGGGTTGCACGCCTGTAACAAGATGAGTTGAATATGAAAGTTGTCTTATCTTTTCATTATTGTTAGAAATTAAACTGTAGATGTACGTACCATTATTCCTGATAGTTTGTGTCTATCTGTTACCCCTGAAGCATGCTCCCTTCCCCAGCTTAAATTGTTATTTTCTTGCTATTTTCTTTTGTACTTGTATATATATCTGTACAGGTTTATTTGGAGTCTGGTCCTAGCCTCGTCACTACCTCGCCGGGGTTAGGCCAGACACTTACCAGCACATGGGGTCGGTTGTGCTGATACTACACTCTGTGCTATTTTGCACAGGTCTAGGTTTCGAGCAGAAGCAGCAGTAGTGTGAGAGCAGGCTTCATTTCAGCGAGACCCGAGGTAGCCTTGCAGGCGTCCGCAGGCCCGGCGTCTCCTCTATCCTTTATTTTCATCTGTTATCTCATTGTAATCGAGACAAACAGCTTATATTCTCTTTCAGACGTTTGTATGTAGTATTCTTAGCAGTTCGTGAGTACAGTGACACCAGTCTTGGGTAGAGGATTTTGTTGAACTTTCCGCATTTTATTCAGTTTTATAAAATGTTAAGACTTCCGCTTATTTCTGAATTTTGTTGCTTTTGTATTATCGTCGTAAATTGTTAAAGTGGATTAGGTTATTAATGGACAAGTAAATAAATTTGGCTTGCCTAGCTCTCATTATTAGGCGACATTACGACTCCCGAGGGTGGGAAATCCGGGTCGTGACATTCTGATTGACATTCTGAGGTACTGGATCATCATGTTCCACCCCTTCTTCATGTTCAACCCGGTGTACTTGAACCCTCTTTGTGGATTTACCCTTCCTTTTCTGAATTGAAGCCTTCTTAGTTCTACCTTGAGCAACAATAGTAGCAATAGTTTCTTGAGCAGCATCCTGAGTATCGGTGTTAGAGTTGCGAGTACGAGCCATTTCTGCGAGTTTTAAAGAAACGAATACATTAGATAGTTTCTTAGAGGTAGGATCTACTACACGATCTAAAGTATGAAAAAATGAGACTTTTCCTAAATGCTTGTAGCATCCTGTTTATAAGTATGCCGCACTTCATACCCATAAACAAGACTCTACTAACACGGCTTCATAGACCCCTCGGACTCCATAAACCTGACGCTCCGATACCAAGTTTATCACGACCCATTTTCTGAACAAGCTGTGACCGGCACCCGATCACTAAACATGGCCGAGCGAACCATCTGCGCTTATCAAATCTATTATAACTTCAAACTTTATATGCAACAAGGTAATACTTTAACCAAATACTTTTAATTAATTTAAATATCTAAAATAAACCAACTCCAAAACATTATTTGTAGTAACCACTGAAATACTGCTAAGTTATTATCAAAAACATCTGAATCTTAACCCGACGACTATGTTTATGAAGCCTCTACTGATAAACTGATGCAGTGCTCAGGACATGAGATTTCCTGGCCAGTTCTCTAAGTAAACAACGAAATAGCTAAGTAAAGATGACTCTAAGAAATACTCCACGAACAAAAGCGGAGCTCACCAATAGCACTGAAAGAGAGGGAAGTCCTAACCCGTAGCCTACTCGCCTGCAAAATCGGTTCCTGCGTTGTGCCGCAGACCAACGTAGGTTCCCAAAAGAGAACGTCAATACCATCCATTGTACTCAGTGAGTCTCAACGATGGGGCACGAAAATTTAATAACATATACATTACGAGCCAAGATTCTAAATGCATGTAAAACAAAAAGCTTGTAAGAACAATTCTAAAGAAGATTGCATAACAACAGTTTATGAATATTCTAAAAGAAATTCTTTTCTTTTTCTTTCTTACAAAAAAAATACCTCACTTTATATTTGGGAGTTCCAACTATCCTGACATATTTCTGTCTAAGTCACCGTGTGATCGGCACGGGTTCGATCCCAACCGATCGAATAGGCCCAATTCACGAAGTGCCATTCGTTTTATGGTTCTCAGCGCTCATGTATCATACCTTAGCATGGATAAGTGAATTCCTAGCAATGAGACCCTCGGCTCATGTGCTCCCTACTTTGGCACAAGTAGTTTCAGGAAGTCAACGCCTTGGTAGGACCCTCGGCCTGGATGATGTCCCCTTCTCAGAATAAAGGATACTCCCAAAAATCTTTTCTTTCTAAAACTTCTTCTTATGACTTTTCAAGTCTAAATCTTTTTTTTGGACATCATATACATACTCATCCTGGTATCCTTAATTGTAAAGCATGGCATAAGAATGAAATAAATATTCAAAAGTATTTCTAAAGATTCTTGCTTCTTCATAAATTTTCAACATGAAAATGGTATATAAGATAACACAAAAATCTGAAACTTTATGCACATATATCATAATAAATCATCTAAACTTTTGCTAGAACAATTCTAAGTTATCGGTACTTACTCGCTCCAATTAAGTAAATATAAACTCTTTTAAGCAATTCATCAAACACCTTGTATGCGTGCTTTTGTGAGTTAAACCACTTTAGTAAAGGGATATATCAACTCACCTCAAAACTCCTCGAGCCAATACGTAGGCCCCGGTCCAATTTATACCCGTAGATAATTGATTCTACAATAACCAGGGCATTTGAATTAATTTAAAAGTTTCACACCTAAACATGGAACTTACTGTTGATACAGAGGAAGAAGGGAAATTACTATTCAATTCTTACCTATTACTACCGTAGGATAATTGACAATAGG